GCCCAACGCTTGTGTCTCTCCGATGTCGGATCCCACTTGGCCTCTGGCCCCTGCTGCTCTCTGGCCATTTTCTTGCAGTCCTTATTTGGTGGCCGATTTGATCTTGTGGATGGCATACGGGCTTGACTCCTTGGGCATCCAGATCTCCTCCCCGCTGCGGCCCTGGTGCTCCACCGCTCCCTCCATGGCCGCCGTCAGCTCGGGGCTGAAGATGCTGTCGGTGGCTCGGTAGGTGCGGGTGAGGCGGCGAAAGGAGGAGTCCGAGGAGCTGTCGTCGGGAAGGTCCTCGTCCTGCTCATCCCGCAGCTTGGCCCGGCTCAGCTCAGAGCTGCTCCCCAGCTCCGGGTCCTTGAAAGCCGCCCCCAGCTCCCGCAGGAAGGTGGTTTTGGGGCTGACAATGCAGAGCAGGAGCATGAGGCCGCCCGAGACCCCACACAGAAAGTAGAGGCCAACTGTCTCTGGGATGCCTGGGGGCGAAGGGCAAAGAGAGACACGGGGTACAAACCGCCTGTGCAGCCCGCGGGGCGCCCGTGCCTGGAGAACACCCTCTGCCAGGCACACGGGAGGAAGAGGAGGGGAGCAGGGGTGCGCAGGGGCAGGACAGACCCTGCCCCAGTGATGGTGGCAGTGTCACCCAGAGCCTCATTGGTCCCAAAATGCCCCTTTTCCCATAGGAAACCCCCCAGGGGATGTGAGGCAGGCAGTGCAGGGGGAGGGCAGGGGCAGGACAGACCCTGCCCCAGTGATGGTGGCAGTGTCACCCAGAGCCTCATTGGTCCCAAAATGCCCCTTTTCCCATAGGAAACCCCCCAGGGGATGTGAGGCAGGCAGTGCAGGGGGAGGAATCATCTCACCAGGGATTTAAATTAGTAACTTCCTCTGGCAAGGGAAATTCTTGCCTGCAGAGAGGGGCTGTTTGTCAGTGCCCTCGCAGACAGCAGGGAGGAAGGAGACCCAGAGGGTAATTCAGCCCATGCAGCAGCACTGCGACTGACTGACGATGCTGTGGGGCCTCAGGGCTTGTTCAGCCTCTGGGCTCCTGCCCTTTGTGGCTCCCCCCAGACCCAGCGTGGGGGCTTGCTGCCCTCTTCCCTTGTGTGCCTGCCGGCTCTGCTGGAGGGGTCTGGGGTCTGGCTGCCTGTGAGCCAAGCCCTGGGCTGAGCAGGGGCCATCAGGGGACCTGAGCCACCCTCCCAAGCCCGTCCTGCTCCCTGGGTGCTGCGTGAGAGCCCGGGAGGGCACGTACCCCAAAGGTGGGCAAAAGCTGCCAGGGAGCTAGTAAAAATCATCCGGTCTTCCCAGAGCCTGGAGAACCTGGGCCCTTTGTACCAGCCACCTGCAGCGAACAAGGGGACGTGGGCTGAGACACGAGTTGCCCCCAGCGCCCCGCTGCCGGCCCCTCCTGCCTCCTTCCCCATGCCAAACTTCTTCCTTCCTGCACGAGGGCT